GCTGCTGCTGCACCACGTAGTGATACCGGCACAGCTGCAGCAGCAGCAGCAGCAGCAGCAGCGCCGGACTTTGCCGTTGATCTCATTACTACCCTCTATAAGGGCATTCTTGGCGCTGCTGATGACCTCTGCAGCAGCAGCAGCAGCAGCAGCAGCAGCAGCAATAGCTGCAGCAGCGGCAGCGCGGAAATGTGCCGAGCAGGGCTGCAGCACATGGCAGCAACAGCAGCAACACTTGCAGCAGATATGATGCCGGCGGAGCTGCACGACGCGCTGCAGCAGCTGGCTGCGCTGTCATCTGGGGCAGCAGCAGATAGCAGCAGCAACACACACACACCTGCAGCAGCACAGCAGCAGCAGCAGCAGCAGCAGCAGCAGCAGCAACAGCAGCAGCAGCTACCGCACGCTCCCGGCATACCCGTCCCTTTTCTTAGCCTGGATGGCCCTGATATCTGTGTGCACTTCACACCAGCAGCAACTACAGCAGCAACAGCAGCAACAGCAGCAGCAGCAGATGCGGCCTCAGAGATAGAAGAAAGAGCAGCAGCAAAGACAGTAGGAGGGAAAGCTGCAGACCTACCAGCAGCATCCAGCGCCTCTGGCGATGCAAGCGGGCCTGTGCAGCAGCAGCAGCAGCAGCAGCAGCAGGTGGAGCAGCAGCAAGAGTCGCAACAGCAGCAAGAGCAGCAGATGCTGCAACTGAATGAGCAGCAGCTGCGTCTGCTTTGTGCTGCTGTTGCTGTGCTGCATGATGCAGCAGCAGAGGAGCTGCGGGCCTTCTGGGAGGCCTCACCGCATCTGCTGCAGCAGGTGCAGCGAGCTGCTGCAGCAGATGCAGCAGCAGCAGCAAGCAGCAGCGGCAAGCAGCAACATAAACCCACAGATCTGCTGCTGACAACATGCAAGGAGGGGCCTGCTGCTGCTGCACTGCAGCAGCTGGAGCAACTCGCAGGCGGACGGAAGAACCTGCTGCTGCTGCTGGGTCTTAGGCCAGCAGCAGCAGCAGCAACAGCAGCAGCAGCAGCAACAACAGCAGCAACAGCAGCAGCAGAAATGGAAAGCAGCACATGCGCATCGAATGTGCCTGAAGAAAGACAAAATGTTCGTGCCGACGCCGCCACTTCAGCAGCAGCAGGCACGGCAGCAGCAGCAGCAGCAGCAGAGCCGACAGCAGCAGCAGCAGCTTCAGCCCCTCGCGTTGTATCTTTAGCAGATATTAAAGACATCTTCCTGCTGCAAGACATGCAGCAGCAGCAGCAGCAGCAGCAGCGGCGGAGCAGCAGCGCCGCCACCGTGTCGGTGGTTTCTGTGGGCTCAAGCGTCGGGACCTCCCCAGCAGCAGATACAGCAGCAGCAGCAGCAGCAGCAGATGGCCCTGGCGCTGCATCTTCGACTCCAGCAGCAGCAGGAGCAGCAGGAGCAGTACCCACAGCAGCAGCAGCAGAAGAGCGGACGGGGCTGCAGCAAGTGGCGCTGCAGCTGCAGCAGCTGCATGCAGCAGTCCGAGAGGAAACACGCAAGCTGCAGGAGCTCTCCTCTTTCTACGATATGTTTGCTGCTCAATCTCTTGGCATTGCTGCAGATACACCGTAGCAGCAGCAGCAGCAGCAGCAGCAGCAGCGTAGCAGCAGCAGCAGCAGCGTAGCAGCAGCAGCTGCTGCTGCTGCGACACGCGCATCAAACGCGTTGCTGATTTGATGGCAGCAGCGGCTGCTGCTACGAAAGCAGGTATACTTGCTCCTGCAGCAGCTGCTGTAGCAGCAGCAGCNTGGCAGCAGCGGCTGCTGCTACGAAAGCAGGTATACTTGCTCCTGCAGCAGCTGCTGTAG